ATGATTCCTAATAAGATTGCACAGTTTTTGAAACTAGGACATCCTGAAACATATACAGGCCATTCATTCCGAAGAACATCGGCAACATTACTGGCTAATACAGGAGCTCATGTATTAGCAATCAAGAGACATGGTGAGTGGAAATCAGCCACACTCCTGTGACTGAAATGGAGCGGTCAAATCATTTTGAGAAAAATGTGACAATTAGTAAACGCGAGGGGAATAATTATCCAGATTTTATAAATATTCATTCATAATAATTAATAAAATGTAATGTTCATCAAATATTTCTATTTATTTGTTCATAAAATATGCATTTACGACTCGAAATCGATTTTACCACCTGTTGTCCATAGCAACTTCCACGTCTACAGTAAAATCCATTTACCTCCTTAAAAACAGTCTATTTACTGTAGTGGGATCAGATAAAATACATATTTACAGTTATACAGGATTATTTAGCTAGACGCCAATTTTAATTTTTTAAATGTTTAGTTTAAAAGTTACTTTAAGAAACAACAACGAGACACAAGATACGACAAGAAAAATATAATTACTTTGTGTCACAGTTCTCGAGATACTTACCTTTCAACATTTTTTACGTCACAATCGCCACTTAGGTACGTTGTTCGAAATTCTCTATTTATGCCAGCACCATATTTTTTTGTTGTCAAATTTAATAAAAACATTTTTTTATCCAAAATCTGACTTCGCAATTGAATTCTACACCCCTTTAATTATGTTAGTACGCAATTTGGTAAAAAGATATTCATTTTTTGGGTTTTTAACCGTAGCCTATCTACCAGGTTGCCACCAGACCTACACTGCACTCCTTAGTCTTAGTTAGGAATCTTTGTTGTTCTCGGGCTAGGTTATATGGAGGCGGACTCGCTATCAGAATCCCTAGGACCGTCCTAATATTTATTTCGTTTATTGATGTCGGTTCTAAGGCCACTATGGTCGGAACTTCAACTTCATTTTTGAGATACAGAATGTTGAAATTTAAAAAATCATATGTATTTGAATATACCTTAAAATGTTTGGCTAAACGATCTAGCTATTTAGGAACATTTTAGGCCTGGTAGAATTTCATTACCTGCTTTAGTTTGAGTAAAAAATTATACCAATTAATAGACTTCTGTTATTCTGATCTCTTAAAAGTAATAACAATAGTTAGGTAATAATATAAAAATTTTGATACAAGTTGATTATTTTTTTAATGATAAGCAGGTAATATTTCATAAAATATTAAAAATAAACATAGTAGTCCGAAAAGAATCCTAAAGCCACTGGGAAGGTCGTTCGAGGAAAAAGTAAGTTACAAACGCAGGAAATAGTCTGCAGTATGTATTTTTCTTTTGCTTGTTGTGGCGCAGGGTAACAAAATAATTACTTTAAACTGAAAAATCGCCGAAGAGAAACCTGCTCCGCGAATTTGGCCGTACCTAAATAATTTCTTTCTTGTTTATGATGCCCAAACGTTAGCAGAGAAAGCTTCTAAAGAATTCCAAATCATTAAACTGATGCCCTACGGTCAAGGGATTCCTCAAACGTAATTTTTCATGTCATGCTTTTTTACAAGATTGAGCCGTCACGTATTGGATTCAGTTTTTTTTTACCAAGGAGCAATATGTTACACCGGGGGAACGACGGGAGATTATTTTTCTAAAGAGCTGGGGAATAGGATAAAAAATGGGTCAGAAGGGTAGTCAGATTTAAAATTCTGAAGGATCATACGGAGACAAATAGAATCCAACAAAGTACGTCGAAGTAGCTTCAGAATGCATAACAATTCCTCATATCCGTTGTAAAATACGTTAGAATACAATGTGTTAAAATATACTCTGCCAAATATCTCTAAAGATGTTTAACCGGTGGGGGCCAGAGCTCTGGGGCGCCCATCCCCTTCGAAATTTTCACTTATAATACCACTAGAGCTTCAATTATTACTGGAAATTTTTTCGAGCACACGAAAAAATATTCGTGTGCAAGGAAAAATTTCCAGTTTTTAATTGAAGCTAGAGTGGTATTCGGTAAGAAAATTTCACAATGAAGTGTTAAAAAATATCGACAAAAATATAAAGATATATAAATTTTTTGATTGTTTTGAAAAGACAGTAAGCTTTGTATGTTAATTCAAAAAGGATAACAAATGTCATTTTATATGCACGGTGTCAAAGTGAAAAGTTTAGTGTTTTTTTACGATATGTATGTAAGTTACATAAATATGCTTATATTATTAAGTTAAATTAAATATATGTAAGTAACGAACTTTAGTTACACAGAATAATAAAAGACAAATCGATAGTAGTTCAGATTCTCAGTTTTCTAAAAATTCATTTTACTAAAGTAGGTTGAAATAATATTTTCTTACAAAGAAATTGAAGCACTATGTTGTATCAATGAAACTCACATGCATATTTTATTAAGTTAAATAAAGTATAAGTGGTGAACTTTAGTTACACAAAATAATAAAAAATAAGTTGATAGTAGTTCAATCTTTCAGTTTTCTAAAAATTTAGTGTACTAAAGTTGGTAAAAATATATTTTATTGCAAAAAAACTTGAAGCAGTATATATAATCAAAGTAACTTACATACATATAACATTAGGTTAAATAAAATACAACTAACCGACTTTAGTTAAGCAAAATAATAAAAAATAAGTCGATAGTAGATCAATCCCTCAGTTTTCCACATACTCATTTTACTAAAGTTGGTAGAAATATATTTTCTTACAAAGAACCTTAAGCACTATGTAATATCAATAAAATTCATATGTATATATTATTAAGAAGGCCATGGAATCCATGTCAAACAAGGTAATCGTGACTTTTGACGTTATTTGACCATTTTCTTTAAAATCGTTGTGTTGTACAATTGAAAAATGGAGCGGTTTGAGAAATACGTTTTATGCAAGTTTTGCAAAAAAGTTAGTGAAATTAAAATGTATCATCGGAACCTAAAATTTTTAATGTATTTATTACAAGAATGCGGGCCAGAAATTTATTCGCCAAACTTGTTTGGGATTATTAAAAATCATTTGCTTCTTGTGTGTAAGAAATATGGAGCTCTTCGTGGATCACAGCAGAATAAGATTGTTTCAAAGTACTACATTTATTTTTTGAAACATAGACATTTTATAAATTTTAGTGAATGTGTGCTTGTTTATTCCCCATTAAGAAAAGAAGACGTGGCTGAGGAATTTCAGCAACATTTGGACGCTTTAATTAAAACTACTAAAAGTACATACTTGGTAAATAATTATTTATAAATGATTTGTACTTATTAAATTATGATAGAATAAATTTGAAGTTAAATATAAATGTCATTTTATTTACAAATGTCAAAAAATTTCCAGTGTAATTTCATGCTCCTTACCCCAAAGAAGAGAAAAATTTCCGGAAATTTTCTTAGTTGCTATAGTAACGCTACAAAATACAGGCCTTTAATTGGCTGAAAAATACTATTGTGAAATTTTCATTACAATTTTTTTTTACAATGTTATCTGGATAATTAGTAGATTAGTAGATTAGCCATATGAAACAGACAGTCAATTTTACTTAACTTGCAACGTTTATTTGAAAAGCTCTGAATATGTGGGCTCCTCGTAACTCGTCCCTAAATCTGTGTAAAGTGTTTTCAACTGTGGTCATGGTTACCGTCACCCCAGTTAAAGGCGGAATGGGAATAGCGCATATTTACTTTGCATTTTGTGCTCTGTTTAATTTGCCCGTAACCAAATAATTGCTTTTCACCGGTTTTTTTTCTTATTAAACGTAATTTGTTTACCTCTGGTGTAAAACTTTGTTACATATGTATTGTTGCTTGTGTTTTTTAAAATTTTGTAAATGCATAAATTAGATTGTAAAGACGGACTAACAGGACTCGCAATGTAATCTATTGGAAAGTGGTGCGAGAAATGCGAAATTTTAATGAATAAGTAATTGAATAGTTTATTTCGGACAAAGGAATGGACTTTCACTATAGAAAATAATGCATATTTTCTCTATATTTCAATAGTACTTAAAATAAACTACCAATTATAATTGATTTTTTATTTTAATACTTTGTATCTAAATTTTTCGGCCTCCTTGATTTGGAAGTCAAGAGCCGCCACTGAGTTTAATATGGATTGATGAATCTTGGTTATAATTTAAACTAATTTGGGGCCCTGACGGAGATATTTAGAAACATAGTCACTCTATAAGCTAGAATTTCGACGCCACTTAATATTTCAGAAACTGGATAAGTACATCTAATTTTGCTTGGTGGTTCTAAATATGTTTTCTATTTTATTCTAAAAACTAACTTTTTTTGAGTAACTTAAAAAAATTAATCATTTATCATTATTGTTTATTACGGTTACCACTTTTACTGTCCATTTATAGTAGTTTAAGCAAAGGGTTGTCTCTTTTTGAGGCATATTTAGATCTGATGACGTTGATCCTGCTGTGGGCAATCATCAGAAGTTCTTTATCAACTATCCACAGATAAAGTTTACCACTCAATCAGTAGAAATAAATAGGTTGTATAATGTTCCTAAGAAAATTGTCAATTTAAGTTACTGAATTCAAAAATGTATATCGGTTATTATTTCCCGTCGCTCTGTAGCCACAATGCTGGCTAATTCTGGTGCTGACCTGAATTGAAGTCATCTTCAGTGGCCGAAGCTTATATAGAAGACTCAGTAATGGGAAATTATGAAGTATTGAAGAAAATACTCAGTGATAGAGTAGAAAATTCTTGCAATTCTACATCTGCAAGTTTGTTACATGAAAAAAGTTCTGTTCCGAGAATAGAAGTTTTTGGAAATGTCAGTTGTACGGTTAAAGTTCATATTAATTAAAATGACAATGAAAACTAAAAATAAGTTGTTTGTGGATAAAAACAACGATTGTTTAAAGCGAATTTTAGCATTTGCTAAAAAAAAATATATGTTGGTTTCCATTAAGTATGAGCTTTACATTGTCTAAGCATGATTTAAACAAAAAATATCTGGTGAAGGAAACTATAAAAATATTTAATTTAAACGTAATTTATTTAGATACATTTGCACACTGTCGTTAAGTTTGTTATTTAAACATTAAAATACAACCATTAATCTGATAAACATCCTGTTAGCGAACATACTCTGTATCTTCTTTTTTGGGCTTTCTAAACTTTTTCTTCATCTCCAAAGATTTCTCGTAATTCCTTGCCCTTCTGGCTAATCTCTCCTCCTTAAGACACTTCGTCATCTGGTGGTAAAAGGAGTTGCAGAATCCAACGAACTTTCGGAAGGGATGTTCCCGACGACATTCCATCAACAAATTTATCATTATGTTGCACTTCTCGGTGTGGAGGTGCGGGGAAAGGTCCGTGTGCATTGCGAAAATAACACGGATCGTTATTTGTGCACCCACTACTAAAATAAACTGTCGCTGGCAAGCTAGACGGAACTATTTTGGCAGACAGGCTCGTAATGTGGTCGCGTTTCGATGTTTGTTCTTTTGACGTAGACGTTACCATGGTAATGGAAGTAGGTAAGCCATTAAATCCTAGAGAGACAAAATCTAGACAGGGTGCTTCAAACTACTGTGCCGTGGAATGCTGGTTCTGACTTAAATGAAACACAATAATGATATACAGGGTGTTTTTTAAATGAAGTAGCAAAAATTGTACCAGTGAATGTAGAGCCAAAAATAAGAGGATTGAAGTAAAAATACCTTATATGAAAGTTGTACCCCTGAGGCGATATACCCTCTTAAAGGAGGGGATTGAAATTCACATTTTAATTTTTTTCTTTAACATGAGGAATGCTAGAGACACGAAACTTGGTATGAGCATCCTACTAATAAAGAGACAACTTTTCAATATTTGTTCGATCATTGGCGTATTTTATAAAGGAGTGAAACAGTCGACCCCATTGCAATATTTTATTAGACATTTTTTATATGAAGCAAATTATTTATTTAAAAATATTTATTGGGAATACTGATTTATTGCGCAACTTTTTTACCTATTGTAATTTTTCGAGAAAACTGATAATTTTCTAGTAAGAAAATTAGATGCGTCATCGTTCAGTAAAGGGGTAATTGCGAAAATTTGTAAAAATAAAGTAGGCGGATGTCATAACAAATAAATTGTTATTTATCATATTAATAAATTGGCATTTCTTTTTCTATTTCTTGTTTTCTCTTTAACTCAGAACCCAGTTAACCGATTTGAGCAAAATTTGCTGTTGCTTAGTTTCTCTTCATGAAGTATGCAGTGATTATGTTCCTGTTAGTTAAATCATACAGGGCGTTCATTTTACTACAACCATTTGTGAATATTCTTCTGTAACTTTTTTTTTGTACGTTTAAATTTTTACACGTAACTATCAGAAATATGTAGAGTCGAAATTATGCTCGGTTATGCAGATATTACAGAAAATATTTATTAACACATACCCCATATTTTAACAATTTAACACTTATAATGTCAGGTTGCAAAAAGGCCTTATGTTAGACTCAAAACTAGTTGGGAACTATTCGCAATTGCTAAATGAACCGGCAAACTTCAACACGGTTAGGTTCTATTGGATGCCATGGCATAAAGGCAGTAAGGAATTAGAGATTCTTTCCGGAGAATCGATGTGCAGGACAAAGAAAAAACAATGAAGTAATTAAATGTAAACTTGATTTTACAGGCTTTTTTTAAGTATATATCATATATCAAACTTCCGTTAAATTTAAAAATATTACAGTGACAAATGCGGATACCTAAATTTCTCATAGTTCTTAGTATATCCCTATTATTTTCCCCTGCAACCGCAAAAGTATATAAAAAATGTTGTAATATTTCCTTACTTTCTCCGGGCACTGAAATCCTTATTGATTGGACTTTTTGCGACCCCTAACGCAAAATTGTAATTTATCATTTCGGATTAAGGCCATATTAACTGAGCGGGGTGATAAAAACTGATTATAAAGGATCTCCAAATTAATCACTAAAGATTGTTTCTTCCATTATAATAAAAATTTCGCAATGGGGCGCCCACTGAAACTTAACAAAAAAGTAACATCCAAAGTTATCTCTTACTCTTTTTATAATATATGGAGTGTTGTCAAAGTTGAGGCATTTTTTTATATACAGAAATCGTAAAAATAAACACGCGCCAACTAAATATAATATTTAAAATGACTCAAATTTGTTCTTGATAAATAACAGCATTTTTAAATAAAAAACAGGGAGTTTACAAAGTTGTAAACTTAAAATTAATAAAATAAATATTGTTAATACTTATTGACAACCTCTGGAATAGTGATTGTCGTAAATGGCGTGTCGTCTATTCTTTATTTTAATTAATTCTACTTTAGTTTTCATTATGAAGAAAGTAAGAAAGTAAGAAATTAAGAAAGTAAGAAAGTAAGGTAGTAAGAAAGTAAGAAAATAAGAAACTAAGAAAGTAAGGGAGCAGGAAAGTAAGTAAGAAAGTAAGGAAGTAAGAAAGTAAGAAAGTGAGAATGTAAGAAATTAAGAAAGTAAGAGAGTGAGAAAGTAAGTAAGAAAGTAGGTAAGTAAGAAAGTAAGAAATTAAGAGAGTACAGAAGTACGAAAGTAAGGAAGTAAGATAGTAAGAAAGTAATAAACTAAGAAAGTAAGAAATTAAGAAAGTATGAAATTAAGAAAGTATGGAAGTAAGAAAGCATGGTAGTAAGAAAGTAAGGAAGTAAGAAAGTAAGGAAGTAATTAAGAAATTAAGAGAGTAAGAAAGGAAGAAATTAATAATGTAAGAAAGTGAGAATGTAAGAAATTAAGAAAGTAAGAAAATAAGAAACTAGGAAAGTAAGAACGTAACAAAGTAAGGAAGTAAGGAAGCAAGAAAGTAAGAGAGTGTGAAAGTAAGTAAGAAAGTAAGAAATTAAGAAATTAAGAAAGTAAGAAAGGAAGAAATTAAGAAAGTAAGGAAGTAAGGTAGTAAGAAACTAAGAAAGTAAGAAATTAAGGAAGTAAGGAAGGAAGAAAGTAAGGAAGAAAGTAAGGTAGTAAGAAAGAAAGGAAGTAAGAAAGTAATGAAGTAAGGTAGTAAGAAAGTAAGGAAGTAAGAAAGTAAGGAAGTAAAGAAGTAAGGATGTAAGGTAGTAAGAAAGTAAGCAAGAAAAAAGGTAAGGAAGTAAGAAAGTAAGGTAGTATATAAGGTAGTAAGAAAGTAATGAAGTAAGGTAGTAACGAAGTAAGAAAGTAAGGAAGTAAGGAAGTAAGGTAGTAAGAAAGTAAGAAAGTGAAAAGGTAAGAAAGTAAGTAAAATAAATAAAAAGTATTTACAAATTTATTTGATTGTATAAAAGTAAGAAAGTAAGTAAAAAATAAAAAAAATGAAGAGTATTTACAAATTAATTTGATTGTATATTTCAACTATTTTGAAAAAAATTGTCAGGTTTGTTTCATTCTTAAAATAAAAACTTTACTTTGACCGATAAAAAGAATTTCTGTATACGAGTAAAATGATTGAGGAAAAATTCTAGGCACAGTAAGGTACATAAATGCCGCATCGACGTGAGTAGAAATCGTTTTTGCATAGCCAACTACATAAAGAATAAAACCTCCAGAAATTCAACCACTCCTTGATATTTAAATTAGCGATAACACTTTTCTTTCGGGGATGGCTATAAACATCTGCTGTTTCTTGAACTTCGAAACTTTTACCGATCTTCGGATTGCCAAACATTGGGACAGCAAACAAGAAAGCAACAGACACAACCCCGTGTTGAGGAGTAAGTAACCCTTTCGACCCCCGAGGCAAACAATAAGGGTGTAATTTATCACTGGTGGAATCTGTCGTTGGGCGGACTAAATCAACCTGCCGTTACAGTCCCCACGATGAGTGGGAAAACTTTGGATGTGGAAATAATTAACAGCGGAATGGGGGAGGGCGGTTTTCCACGGACAACTTTGTCATTATCACCTTGCAACGCACCAGTGGTCCAAAGAAACAGTTAAATATTCTAACTGTAACCCATTTTAATCTACTGTAAAAGTATTACTAATTTTAATAAATCTATCTAATAAAATCTTATCCAATCAAATCTACAAAACTGAAAAATCTAGTTCTGTTTCTCACCTAGAAATTAAAACTGAAATTTCACGCTTTTTTATGCGCTATCAAGCAGGTGCTACAACCAACCAGTCGGCAAGAATACCCTTTCTATGAATCCTAATGAGATTGTACAGTTTTTGAAACTAGAACATCCTGAAACATACACTATACAGGTCATTCATTCCGAAGAACATCGGCACCGTTACTGGCTAATACAGGAGTCGACGTATTAGCAATCAAGAAATAGCTGAGGCACCAAGATTAAAATACCGAGCCGCAAGCGAGGGATTTTTAGGTGCCGAAGCTATAATGGCACGAGTACGAGTACGAGGATAATAAAAAGGCATTCAGTCTATGGTGTACTTCTTCAATGTTAAAAGCAACTCTAAAATTAAAAGAAAATATTGACGTTGGAAGATACTATAAATTCACTGCATACCTAAAGCGAAAGAACACCTCTTACAGACCCAAGAATCGCCTGTGTTTTCAGAAGAGGATATTACTACTAGATCTCTCACTGAAGCACCTGATGCCGCCTTTCTGACAGCAAAGGTAATTTTTTTTAGTAAACTTCTAAAAACTCACTAATTCCTTACTTTACAGGTAATTCTTGTCACTGGGATTGCAGGCGCCTGTAGAACTGATGAACTCTAATAAATGTTGACGAGTGATGTGGATGATCGAAGCGATACAATCATAATAAAATACCTACCAGTAAGAATGGTTCAGCCAGAAAATTTGTCGTGACGAAACCCCTGTGGATTGAGGTGGTAAAAAAGTACTTGGGGAAAACGCCTACACCAGATTTACAAAGATTATTTATTGGCTTCCGAAATGGGGTGCCAACACGGCAAAATATGGGGCACAACACAGTTGGTAATATGTCCAAAGTGATCTTAAAGTTTTTGAAACTCCAAAATTATGAGAATTACACCGGTCATGCCCTTCGCAGAACTTCAGCTACGATATTGGCTGAAAATGGGGTCGATATATTGTCCTTAAAGCGTCACGGTGGGTGGCGATCTTCAGGGGTAGCAGAAGGATGCATTAAAGAATGAATAGCCGATAAGAGACGCATTGCCGGAATGGTACAAGGTGTTCAAACGTCGTCGTCCTTTCTTGTCGCTCCTTCTGCTTCTGCAACTATTAATAGTGCCACTGTTGAGTGTGATGTTTCACCCAATTCGAACACTTCGAGTAAAATTCCAAGCACTTCGTTTTCTCCAAGACACTCGGTGCCCGGAAATCAAGCTGATAATGCTGCTGGTGCCACTACTACGTCTCTCAACATTAGAAGAGCAGGCATCAATATGACATGCCACAATTGCACGGTTAACTATTAGGTATTTCCGATAAGTTCGTGTTACTGATAATTATCT